AGCTCTTTCAAGGTAAACTAGAATCTTCCAGGGAGGTGTGTGAAGGCAGTTGGAGCAAATCTATGCAGGACACCGGCACTCCAGGACCGAGTTTGGACACCCTTGCTCTGTGTGGACCGATATCTACTGGCTAAGGATTTGATTTTGAGAGAAATGACGCCGTCTAGTGGTCATTTTAGGCAGACACACACTCTCTTACACACGCAGTGCCGGCCCGTGGGGTTGAGGGACCCTAGTAGGCGAGATAAAATATTGGGCCTACTTGTGCAAAAACATACGCTGGATAAGTTGGCGGTTCATTCCACTGTGGCAACCTCAAATTAATAAAGGGACTTATCCTAAAAAAATGAATGAATGTATTGTTCAAAACAACATTTAATTTACAAACTTTTGGTCATTTTAAGTCTCTTTTAGCCTTTTAGTAGTAGTAATATTTAAGATAATAATTATGAAATAACAAATAAGATAATAACCGAACTTCTACTAATATATTATCATATAAATCTATTCAGTAAAACTCTTATTTATACAAGGGAATACAGAAATATACATGAATCAGTAAGGAAATTAATAACCAAAATGAAATACATTTAACTAAAGCATATTAATCATGTACATTAATTAAATATTTTTAGATGTCTCACCAGTGACGGCGTCGATTTTCTCCAGGTGCTCTGGTGTCATGAGAAATCACCTGTCTCCGCCATACACATGCGCTATAGGCAGGGGTGGATTTAACCAATAAGAAAGGTAAGCGTCTGCCAAGGGACCAAGGAAATATGAGGATCCCCAAATAAATACCTAGACGTATAAATGATACATATAAATATATACAGCAGGCAACAATATATAATGTTGTTTTCTATCATATTTTGTACAGTGAGGGTCTAAAAATGATAACATCTGCGCAAATGTGTCCCCCACCTTCAATCTTGGACCAGTCTAGCAGTCAAATCAGAAAAGATTTAGTTTTAAAAACGAAATAGTTCATTAATTATGTTTAGCTCTGCATTCATCTTATGAAAACAAATAGTTTTTTAAAGGTTTACAAGGTGGTTTACATGTTGTTATTATTATTTTGCATCTCAAAAGGAGATCGAATGATATAAGAAAAAAACTGCAAAAAAAATAATAATAATAATTTAAAAAATGTAAGTACAAAAGGAGCATTTTAAAACTTTGGTTGGAATTGCTTAGGGCTCCAAAATCACTGAATACGCCCCTGGCTCAGTGGCGCAACAAGGGGGTATGCAGTATATGCGGCGCATAGGGGCGCGACACATGGGGGGCGCCGTTGTGCCAAAACTATTTTTTTTTTAAATTATCCTTATTAAAAGTTTCAAATAATAAAAATAAATAAATATGTTTTGTTAAAAAAACATTATTTTGCATTTTAAACGAATATAATATTGTTATTGTTTAATTCAAAATCATTTAACACAATAACATGCAGTCCCACAGCCTAAAGTGTTCATGTAGATGTAACTGTTTAGATTTGTTTTTATTTTTATCAAAATAAACTGTCATACATAATGTTAAAAGTTATAAGATTAATCTGAAAATTTGTCTTCATTTATTATTAATTAATTAATATAAAATAAGAGGGATCACACAAAATTTGAACCCGCACACCCCTCAGTAAATGTGTAGTTGCGCCCCTGCCCTGGCTATAGGTGAATTGGGTAGGCTAAATTAAAGTGTATGTGTGTGAATAGGAGTGTATGGGTGATTCTCAGTGATGGGTTTCAGGGCATCCGCTGCGTAAAACATATGCTGGATAAGTTGGCGGTTCATTCCGCTGTGGCGACCCTGATTAATAAAGGGACTAAGCCGAAAAAAAAGAATGAATGATTAGGGAATCATTTAACACAATGGTTTTCATTCATTAATTTTCTTGTCGGCTTGGTCCCTTTATTAATCCGGGGTCGCCACAATGGAATGAACCACCAATTTATCCAGCTAGTTTTTACACAGCGTATGCGCTTCCAGTCGCAACCCATCTCTGGGAAAATAATGGTTTTAGTTTATTTATTTATTGATTTTTTGTCCATTTTCGATAATTCAGAGTTGCACTCCACAAATAAAAACATTTTATCAGCTTTAATTCTGAATATTCACGCTGTAAGTGCCACAATAAACATGGAGCCGAGGTCTTTCCGCTTGCTTTCCGGAAAAGCCCGAGTGACGTTCGGCTGTGTTCGTTCGTCTCTGCGAAGTCATTGTATGTAAACAAGGTCAAGTATTCGCCGCAGCATTTCAGCCTGCACAGACCAACCAGACGACTCTCTCCAGAGAAGACGACATCACATCAGCACAACTATTACAGGTACAGCAATCAATGCAGAGGGAGATTTACTGCACCACATGATGATTTATTTTCGGTGTAATCTGTTTTCTGCTAATCCTGTGCGGCGTTTTCTTGCATACGTCATGGAAAGGCAGCAGCAGCATGGTGTTGTTTACATTCCTTCGCAGTGGGAAAAACATGTCAAATACCGAGTCGAGAATGTCATTCAAGGGCATCAGCTCATCAATATACATGACAGATCCTGTGCAGTGCAGCAAAGTCATGTGTCTCTGTTTATTCAGCCTTACAGACATGCATAACATTCAAATGCAGGACGATTTACCTTACATTTAATAACTCACCGAACTCCACCATAATGCATTTAATTTAATCATTGTTGATTAACTATGTTTGTTAATTTTCTCTACGTGACGATTTCGAGTACTAATATTGTGTCTCAGCAATAGTACATTACTGGCTAACTGGTTTAGTCTAGTCTGAAATACGTGATTAATAAAATTGATTCAATAATTGATTTAGTTTTTAAAAATAATCTATAGTATGAGTTGTTCATAGTGGTATATATAGCCTATAGTTCCTCTTTGTGAATGTTTTAGATTGAGGTCAAGTTGATTTTATATTCAGACATTCAGACTTTCCCCTTAATAGCATAATTTCAGAGTATTATTTGCTAATTCTAATTTGGGAAGTCATATTAGCAACCAATGACTATCCAGGAACAACATTGTTCAGCCAGTTAAATAGTGCTAGTGTTGTATGTATATAGTGTATTTATTGTGTATGATTGGGACCCCATGATTGATAGAGGGAATTTGGTGAGGACACCGGGGTTACACCCCTACTCTTTATGAGAATTGCCACGGGAGTTTTAATTACGACAGAGAGTCAGGACCTCAGTTTAACGTCTCATCCGAAAGAAGGCACCAACTGACAGTATACAGTCCCCTTCACTATACTGGGGCATTAGGGCTCTTCTAACAGCAACCTAGTTTTCCTATGTGGTCTCCCATCCTGGTACTGAACAGGCTCAGCCATGCTTAGCTTCAATGAGTAAACGGTCTTGTGCAGCAGGGTGATATGGCTGTGGTTAACAATGTTTAATTAGCGTAGTAAACAATATAGAGACCGTTAAATTAATAAATGTGCGAATATAAAACTAATGTCAGGGATGGCTGACATGAAACTGACGTTGCAACACAGTGTTGAGATCCTGAAGCGCAAGTGTTTTGAAACAATGCACCGAAGCATGATCCGAAACACCCAGGTCACGTGACCAAGATGATTCGAAACACCCAGGTCATGTGACTAAGATGATTCGAAACACCCAGGTCATGTGACTAAGATGAATCGAACCACCAAGGTCAGATGACTAATGTGTTTCGAAACACCCAGGTCATGTGATTAAGGTGATTTGAAACACCCAGGTCACATGACTAAAGTGTTTCGAAACACCCAAGTCACTTGACTAAGGTTATTCGAAACACCCATGTCACGTGACTATAGTGTTTCGAAACGCTCAGGTCACATGACTAATGTGTTTCGAAACACCCAGGTCACGTGATTAAGGTGATTTGAAACACCCAGGTCACATGACTAAAGTATTTAGAAACACCCAGGTCACGTGACTGAGGTGAATTGAAACACTCAAGTCACTTGACTAAGGTTATTTCGAAACACCCAGGTCACGTGACTAGTGTTTCGAAACGCTCAGGTCACATGACTAATGTGTTTCAAAACACCCAGGTCACGTGATTAAGGTGATTTGAAACACCCAGGTCACGTGACTAAGATAATTCGAAACACCCAGGTCACATGACTAATGTGTTTCGAAACACCCAGGTCACGTGATTAAGGTGATTTGAAACACCCAGGTCACATGACTAAAGTGTTTCGAAACACCCAAGTCACTTGACTAAGGTTATTCGAAACACCCAGGTCACGTGACTAAAGTGTTTAGAAACACCCAGGTCACGTGACTGAGGTGAATTGAAACACTCAAGTCACTTGACTAAGGTTATTCGAAACACCCAGGTCACGTGACTAGTGTTTCGAAACGCTCAGGTCACATGACTAATGTGTTTCGAAACACCCAGGTCACGTGATTAAGGTGATTTGAAACACCCAGGTCACGTGACTAAGATGATTCGAAACATCCAGGTCACATGACTAATGTGTTTCGAAACACCCAGGTCACGTGATTAAGGTGATTTGAAACACCCAGGTCACGTGACTAAGATGATTCGAAACATCCAGGTCACATGACTAATGTGTTTCGAAACACCCAGGTCACGTGATTAAGGTGAATTGAAACACCCAGGTCACATGACTAAAGTGTTTCGAAACACCCAAGTCACTTGACTAAGGTTATTCGAAACACCCAGGTCACGTGACTATAGTGTTTCGAAACACCCAGGTCACCTGATTAAAGTGAATTGAAACACCCAGGTCACGTGACACTAGAAGAACCATTATATTAAAATTAAATCTTAAAAAAGGGGTAAAATAGGTGCCCTTTAAAGTATATGTTTAAGTTCTGAAGTACACTATTAGAGCACTTTCAGCACAATAACCTTACCTCTAACTTGTTTTTCACTAAGGTTTAGTAGTGCTGTATGTTGCAACAACCCTGAACTCCCAAAGCTTAGCATTATTCAGGGCAAGGGCAAGGTGTGCGTGACAGTTTTGGTCCTGAAAATCCATCAGGTGTATCAGCACTAGTGGTGTTAACCTTATCGCACACCAGCCACAGTGGTCACGTGACTATAGTTCAAAGTCACCAGCCACTCAGCATTTCCCACAGTTTTATGGTTGGGAAGTTACATTTGATATAATGACAATGAGATTGCTGGTAGTATATGAAAAGTTGCCATTCGCCTATAACAAAATCCCTTAGATCTTTAAACAAAAAAATGTAAAGTTAAACACAGTTAAAAGAAATATCTTCATATTGATGTAAAAAAACATTCATGTCAAGCTCTGATGTGCAGATGTTTATCTGTGGGCCGTGTTTTGGCACAAATCAATCTTTCAGTGTTGTGTTTTCCTCTCTCAAAGGATTTCGGAGATCTCCAGCCACCATGATGCAGTGTCTCCAGTTTCTGGTTGAACCAACCAAGAACGTCACGGAGAAGTTTAAGGTACATTCTAGAATATATTAACATCTAGATTATATATATATATATAATACAGAGAAATGTGAAATAAGGCTGCAAATATATAACATTTCAGCATCAATTGTGCATCTAGAATAGTCACAAATGAGCGGTTTAAAGGGGAGTTATTATGCTTTTTTTAGGATGTAAAGTAAGTAAAATCGGATGTTTTAGCTCAAAATACCACTCAAATACTGTTTTATAACTCTCTAAATGGACCCTTTTTGGCTTTAAAACATGTTAGGATGTTTTGGTGGCTGTCGCTTTAAATGCAAATGAGATTGTGCTCTTTTAAAAAGAGGGCGGAGCTACAAATGCCTACGTGTCAGCGTAGCGGCAGATTCAAAAACAAGACTATCGTCCCTATGGTAATGAGGGAGAGATGGTCACTTGTGGGCGGGGCTTTCCCCTTCTGATGACATCATACAACAGGAGAATGTCAATCAGAGTGTTTCTGCAGGCTGTTTTCATCAACTGTGATTATAAACAATATACTTAATTAATGTTTACCATTAGAAGCTGGATGTTTTCACACACTGCTGACACACAACTGTGTTTAAACCCCTTATAAAAGTGATTTTTACGTAATAGACCCCCTTTAAAGCAAGACATTATTACATTTGTAACGTTATTAAACATTAATTTTGTTTAGTTATTTATACAATGAAGGACACGCAATGTTGAAATGAAGACTGCAAAACACTGTTTCACTTTTAACTTTACTGTATTTAGCGATGCTTGTAATTTGTTCATTGTATTTTATGCATGATTTACTTCCTTACAAAATCACCTTCAGTCGATCTAAAATGATGGAAGCTTTACAAGTAGACCTATTCAAGTCATATGGCATTCATATCACAATATATATCACAGATTAGCAAAGCCCTTAAGTGAACTTTTGATATCAGTAGGCATACTGAAGTTTCCAAAGTTCTAAAGAGTGTTTTTCTGCTCATCAGCTGGAGACGGAGGAAGTGGAGCACACATGAGCGGCTTTTTAATGAAGCACTGGGCTTGTTTATTTGCCCTTCATAGACAACCTTATGTGTCTTCATCTGAACTGAAAACATCTATGAAAAACAGTCACGTTTGACTAATACAAGAGCCATTAAAAAGTGCAGAATAGTGCACAGCGGATGCCCTTCCAGCTGCAACCCAGTACTGGGAAACACCCAAACACACTCATTCACACACATACACTACGGCCAGTTAATCAATTCTCCTATAGTGCATGTGTTTGGACTGTGGCGGAAACCGGAGCACCCGGAGGAAACCCACGCCAATACGGGGAGAACATGCAAACTCCACAACCAGCTGAGACTTGAACCTGTGACCTTCAAGCGCACTTTGTTTCTTCTAGTGTGCTGTTTAGTCACTACTTGTTGTCATGATTTGCAACATAGGCTGATTGTCAATATTGTTATACGTCTGACAGCAGTGCGTAGGTCAAATAAACACTAGGGGGCAGTATGATGACAACAACTTGTGTTCTTTTTCACACTGGTGATGTTTACAGGGACATATTATTGATGAATAAAGGATTATTTTCATGCCTAACTCTGTGGACCGCAAAGCGGCACGGGCCCCTGGGGGAAGGTTTTAGCTCAGTGGTTTGCTAGCTGATCTGTACGACAAGCTCTGCCTTCTGGACGTTTACAAGCAGAACATGTGTCGGAAACATCCAACAAAAAGCACCCTAGCTAACATATTTCAGATTCAAAAAATCTTAGACAACACCCTCTAGTGGATTTCTCATCTGAAACGTACACAAAAACACACCCTAAGTGATGTATTTCACATGTGCTCAAATGTAGACAGCACCCACCAGTAGATTTGCCATTTGAAATGTGTGACAAAATCCACACTAAGTAACGCATTTCTGACTCGCACAAATGTAGACAGCGCCCTCTAGTGGATTTGTCATCTGAAACGTACGACAAAACACGCACTAAGTAACATATTTGAGACCGGCAAAAATATAGACAGCGCCTCTAGTGGATTTATCATCTGAAACGTACGACAAAACGCATCCTAAGTAAAGTATTTCAGACTCGCAAAAATGTAGACAGCGCCCTCTAGTGGATTTATCATCTGAAACGTACGACAAAACGCATCCTAAGTAACGTATTTCAGACTCGCAAAAATGTAGACAGCGCCTCTAGTGGATTAATTCTCTGAAACATACGACAAAACGCACCCTAAGTAACACAATTCAGATGAACACAAATGTAGACAGCACCCTCTTGTAGATTTGTCATCTGAAATGTGCGACAAAACCCACACTAAGTAACGCATTTCAGACTCGCACAAATGTAGACAGCGCCCTCTAGTGGATTTGTCATCTGAAACGTACGACAAAACACGCACTAAGTAACATATTTGAGACCGGCAAAAATATAGACAGCGCCTCTAGTGGATTTATAATCTGAACGTACGACAAAACGCATCCTAAGTACCCCATTTCAGACTCGCAAAAATGTAGACAGCGCCCTCTAGTGGATTAATTCTCTGAAACATACGACAAAGCGCACCCTAAGTAACACAATTCAGATGAACACAAATGTAGACAGCACCCTCTTGTAGATTTGTCATCTGAAATGTGCGACAAAACGCATCCTAAGTAACGTATTTCAGACTGGCAAAAATGTAAACAGCGCCCTCTAATGAATTTGTCATCTGAATCGTATGACAAAACACGCACTAAGTAACATATTGCACATTCGCAGAAACGTAAACATCGCCCTCTAGTGGATTTGTCATCTGAAACGTACGACAAAATGCTCCCTAAGTAACGCATTTCAGATTCGCACAAATGTAGACAGCGCCCTCTAGTGGATTTTTTTATCTAAAACATACAACATAACGCATCCTAAGTAACACATTTCAGACTGGCAAAAATGAAGACAGCGCCCTCTAGTGGATTGATCATCTGAAACGTACGACAAAACGCTCAATAAGTAACGCATTTTAGATTATTACAAATGTAGACAGCGCCCTTTTGTAGATTTGTCATCTGAAATGTATGACAAAACACACCCTAAGTAACGTTATTTAGACTGGCAAAAATGTAAACCGTGCCCTCTACTGGATTCATCATCTGAAACGTGTGACAAAACACACCCTAAGTAACGCATTTCAGATTCACACAAAAGTAGACAGCACCCTCTTGTGGATTTATTATCTGAAACCTAAGACAAAACACACCCTAAGTAACGTATTTCAGACTCGCAAAATGTAGACAGACATCGCCGTCTAGTGGATTTATCATCTCAAATGTACAACAAAATGCACGCTAAGTAACGTGTTTCAGACTTGCAAAAAAGTAAACAGCACCCTCATGTGGATTTGTCATCTAAAACGTACGACAAAACACACCCTAAGTAACGTATTTCAAACTCGCTAAAATGTAAACAGCCCCCTCTTGCAGATTTGTCATCTGAAATGTACAACAAAATGCACCCTAAGTAATGCATTTCACATGTGGACAAATGTAGACAGCGCCCTCCAGTAGTTTTGTCATCTGAAACCTGCGACAAAACGCACACTATGTAATGTATTTCAGATTGACACAAATGTTGACAGCACCCCCTAGTGGATTTGTCATCTGAAGGGTACAACAAAATGCACCCTGATTAACGCATTTGCACAAAGAAATATACACAGCGCCCTCTACCGGATTCGTCATCTGAAACGTGCAACAAAACTCGTAAAAATGTAGACAGCGCCCTCTAGTGTATTTTTTTAGGGGAGTTGGGGAGGGGTGTAATCAAGTTCATTAGATATTCAATGATTTTGTGTGTGCAGGAGTTTCGTAAGAAGTCGAAGAATGAAAAGAGAGAGCCGCTGGACGAGAGTCAGCTGTTTATTGTGAATCTCGCCAAGGACCTGGGACGGGTCTGTCAGGTACACATACAGATACACAGTATGCCTAAAATTTCACATTTGAGTTGTTCACGCTGGATTGGAATTGAAATGTGAAAAACACGAGGAGAAATTCAGTGCCATATTCAGTTACTTATGATTGGGTTCCAAACGTAAAGCTTGAACCAAATGTAATTTTATAAAGACATAAATAAAACTAAAGTTCCCTTGTACGTGTGGACCTGTTTTTTTTTTCCCAGAGGTCTGAGGTGCTGGAGCACATCTCCAACAGTGAGGACGTTTGGCCCACACTCACCTGCAGGGCTTTCATTCTGGAGTGGGCGGCTCTGCTGGAGAGCAAGGTAAATAAACACTTTTAAATCCGCATGAACCGGAAGCTGCAACATTTTTTTTTTTCGTATTGTGATGCAGCTCCTAGAAAAATGTCATATTAAATAAGAAGACAGTGGGTGTGGCTTGTTGTTTTTTTCTAATACCTGCTGATTGGATGTAGTTTCATTCAGAAAGATGGTGAAAGGGTTTTGGAGAGCCTAACAGACTCCTCCTCCTCATCATTTCTGTTTTGGAAGGGCGTGGTTAAGTATGTTAGCCACACCCAATACCTCAGACAGACCTAATCTGAGAGTTTAACTGAAGGAAGTGTATTTTCAGATTTCAATTAATGATTACAAGGGCAAGCAATATTGTTCTTTATCTTAATAACATGCACAGATGAATTGTTCGCCCCAAAACTAGCAATGTGAACAAAGAAAAATCAATATCGTTAGTTTTGATTTCCTTCATTCTTTAAGCACAGTGTGAAAAGCCCCACTGAAACCAAAACGCTGTTATTTCTGGTGCTGGAAAGGCTGCCAGTGTAACAGAACAGCTTATGTTGTTGTATCAGAAAAGGCCGATGCAGACTGACGGCTGGCCAGAGAGAAGTGACTGGAAGGATCTGGCTCTGAGCGGCGAACAGGACCTGGAGAGAGCCAAGAAGGTCATTATAACCTGGAGCAAAGACCTGAGAGCCCAGCCTGAGGTACTTAAATCAGTTTAACCCTGTTAAGACTATATATACATGCACTGATATGAAATTTTGACCGATACAATAACCGATAACTCTTTCGATTTGGAGGACGATGGCTGGTATATTAACTAAATATATAATTTCATTTATTTAATATTTGAATTATAGTTAGATATATATTCTAGATTTAAATACTGTCCAAAATATAGATATTGGACTTAAATATTGTACAATCATTCAACAGTTCTGTTTAGCAATGCACTGATATGGAATATTTGACCGATACAATAAACGATAACTCCATATTTGAAGGACTATAGCCAATATATTAGACAAATATATATATATATATATATATATATATATATATATATATATATATATATATATATATATATATATATATATATATATATATATATATATATATATATATATATATATATATATATATATATATA